GACAGTGGCAAGTCTCCCCCGTGCTGGGAAAGCGGCGGAGGGAGCCCCCTTTTTCCAACAGAATTTTACTTCCCTGAGCGCAGGGGTGCTGTGGGTGGGGAGGGGATTGCGGTCTTGAAGTATCCAGCAGGTAGGCGTGACCTTCAACTTTTTCCAGCCTAAAAAGTGTCAAAAAAAAAAATCAAATAAAAACAGCGTTTCTGTTGTGATTCCCTGTAACGCATACTTACAAAATACTAGTATTTTTAAGAGAGGTTAGAAAGCTGGCAGTGATGCTGGTTTAACTACCAAGGCGTGTAACTGTTGAGCCCAGATGCAACTGACAAGGCACTTAAAATAGTGGTAGGCAGCGGTAGGTTCCCTTGAAGCTGATAATTCAGTCAATGAGTACTTTTTAAAATAAATTTCCACTAGCACTGGAGATGGCATTGCCTCAGAAGTGGACAGCAATGGCCCACATTCGTTGTGCCGGCATGATGGACTGTCAACTACCACTGTCAAAGAAAATAGGGAAAGATGAGACGGCTAAAAATTATAAACAATGACAATAGATATTTGGGAGAAATTTCTTTTGCTCTCTCTATTTGTAAAGGTTATGAAGGACCTTGATTCTCTGTTTTACCTGTTTTCAGCCTCTTCTTCAGCCAGTACTCTGATGATAGCTGTGCTGGGGATGTCTGTGGCAAACAACAACACGGGCAATGGAAGACATGAGGCATGTCCTTGTGTTGGCAATGGACACAAACGTAGGTTCATTTTAGTGGAAGTTAAGGTGCCCAAGGGCTGCTGAGCTGTGGAAACAAAGCTGTGATTTCTCCTGATGTGTTCTCTCACCTCATGCATCCCCGCGCATGGAGCTTCTCTCCCCACGGTGGAAATCACTGCTGGAGGAATGCTGGAAGGAGCTGAACGTGTGCAAACATCACACGGTGGTGGCCTTAATGCAGCTGTCAAAGCAACCTACCAAAGCAACTGTTGGGTGGTTTTTGCCTGTGATGAATAAAAATAAAAGCAGATTCCTTCCAGGTGTCCTCAGGTACACCTGCAGAACAAAGGCAGTATTCCCACTTATTTCTGCAAGTACGGGGAACTTTACGATACATTTAGTAATGCACATAAGTGAATTGGGATCTGTCTGTGTTTTTCTCACTTGGCTAAAAGTTGTATCTGCTCTATTAGGTACAGCTGGAATAGGTTTCAGTATCTTTTGGGCAGTGTATTTTTTATTACAACAGATTATTACTTTTTTCTTTAATATTGAGGAAATTTGAATATAGAAGCAAAAAACCTAGTATCTGTGCAGGTCTCAATATATGTATATATTTTCCAGTATCCAATGTGTTTTCTGTAGCTTAATATTTTTACAGAAGCAAAGTCAAGTATGACCCACTTTTGAGTAGGAAATAAAAAGGGAAATGCAGTAGATTTGGCAACTCCAGGATGAAAGCATCAGCAAGTTCAGTATCTTTCAGTTTGCATCTGGCCTGCAGTAAAACTAGTCATCTCCTGTCAAGGTGATTTTTGTGGAAATTTCCATCACAGATTTTGTTTTGGAGGAAGATATCACCATTTTCTGGGCCCAAACTCTGCAGTGATGATTATCTCATATAAACAGCTTTTACAGTCATGTTATTAACTTGCCAAATCAAATATGTAACGACAACAGAAGGATAGCAATATTTCCTGTGCTTACTGTTTACTCATATGCTACCCCACTGATGAATAATAAAAGCAGATCTAAGAAGAATTACATCTTAGGTAAAAACCACAAAAATCAGGACAGCAGTATGCATTGTTATAGAAACTGCAACAAAATACGTTCCAGCATATGTGAAATCTTGTCAGTCAGAATCAAGTCAATGGATTTCCTCTGTCAGTTACTGTTTTTCTTTAGTATCAAATAAATCACGAGGAAAATGGTAATACCATGCCACTGGTTGAACTCTAATTTTGTCTATTGCTGCATTACGTTTGGTGCCACTTGGTTAAGATTTAGATCTCAGTTATACCCAAATTTAATTTCTTTGCATATCGTTGCATTAATAATATAATGTGATAAAATGTCATTAGCCACTGTAAGATAATTAAGTGCAAAGGTTATAAAAGAAAATCAATCAGGGACTAAAACTGTAGGTTTTTTTCGGTAAATCACACACATTTAAAATCTGACTTAATGTAAGTATGAATAATGTATGGAAAACATTAAATCGTGAAGGATAAAAGTAAAATGCTTTTTAAAAAAGCATATAAAAACCCAAGTAAGCCCTTAAGTGCCTGTCAATAATATGTGAAAATAAAAATGGCATTGTCATCGTTGACGTATGGAGAATGGAAGTCTCAAGAAGACAGCGGTAAAACTGCATTAGAGATTTTAGGAATTACTGATGGTAATTTTCCAGTACCGAGTCGGTGGCACACACAGCCCCGACAGTGGTGGGAAGGGCTGGAATGATCACAAGGCTGGAAGCTTGTGGTGGCGTGAAGATCAGTGCTCACAACCAATTACATCAAATAAGGGCAGACGGAGTACAGGCTCAGCCGAGATCTGTTACGTGTGCCCATGTTTACGGCTGAGTAGGCGTTTACAGATGTGTGCGTATTTACTTAGATACACACATACAGAATAATTGTCTACATCTGCCTGATTAGTTTCCTAGAAAAAAAAAATAGTTAAGAAATAAGAAAATCTGAGAACGTATTAGGGACGAAACTTAACAGTATTAATGAAAATCAGGGCGTGTATCAGAAGACTTTATTGGATAGAAAGTGTTCCACAATATTTTAAATATTAAAATGAACAATTTTATTAAAACCTCTTTCTGGAAAAGGAAGGAAAGACAATAGTTAGAAGTAGATAGCAATCACAGATATGTCAATAATTACCGAATTAAGCCAAAGAAAATTCAAGCCTAGTAAAACTAGGGACAATAGAAGGAAATCTAAAGTGTAAACAAAAGAAGGTAAAACAGCAGCTAAGGCTCAGTACTAGATCGATAGGAGAGTGCTAATGGTGCAAAGAAGTGTTCAACAGTTAGCTACGGTATTTGGTAAGGAGCAAAAGGTTGTATTTATATCTCATCAGGCCACTGGATAATTTGCCAGCCCATAACGACAATGTAAGTATTAAACCACATTAATTAGGAATAAATATTCTTAAAGGAAGGCAGAGAGGCCTTTCACCCAATAATCCTAGAAGAGTTGCCTGAGGAGTTTTCTGTCTTGCTGTTAATTATTGTTAATAATTCTGAGCATACAATGGAAGTCCTCCAATGCTGGACTCAAACCACATGGTTGACCTCATCAGTTATAAAATGTAAAAGATGAAGTTCAGTCAATAAAAGTATATTGATGCTCACTAACATGGTTTTAGAAATAGGACTTGGCAAGCTGGACTCAGGTTGTTCTCTGATGAAGTTACAAATATAATTGGTTTTGGTAACTGTGCTGATGTAATACACTTCTGTAGAATATTTAACTTAGTCTTTCATGGCCTTCAAAAATAAATTAGCATTAGACGATATGAATAAGGTACACAGGAAACAAGAAATGCTATATGACAGTTCTTACAAAGTAGCATCAAAAGCATACATACCTGATCTTAGATAATATTCCTGTGAATACTCTGGAAACAAATATCAACCCATCAAATGACTGTATTTGCAGATGCCAAAAGCACAGATGAAGTGATAAATCATGATGGTAACAGACATCGCACAGTGCGATCTGGATTCCAGGATAAATTGGGTCCATTCGAAGAAAGTGAATCTAAAAAGGCGAATGCAAGCTCGTATATCTAGGGGAAAAAAAGTGGTACTGTACTTCTAGAAGAGTAACTAGTGGCTGAACACAACCGAGCAGCAGGGTGGAGAAGCAGCGCGCGCTTCCCTGGTAGCACTGCTATCAATGAAGGCCGACGACTTCTGATGGGGATAACGACAGTAAAAGTTGAAAATGAGGACAATTATTGCATTAGATTCACTGCTGTAAGTGCAGAACAAGTGAAGAAACCTCTGTTTAGTGCGACTCCCCTAAAAAATTTCACCTAAAAATTTTTTTTCTTAATCAGGAGATAGCATTAAACCCTTCAGTTTAGTTGTTTTTTATCTGAGTGCTGTGCACTTTTTACACAAATCTGAAAGAAATAGCTGCAGTACACCACTGTTCAAGAAGGCAAAGTTGGGCATTTATTGATTCATATCAGACAGGTTTTGGTACTCAGACATAAAATTTCAATAATTGTCCGTTCTTTATTTTCTATTTTTGAGGGCTTTGAGCATCGTTAAGCTAAGTATCCTGGAGAGTCACAAAGTTTTAAGGGGCTTGTAGCTCTGGAGTGGCAGGGACGCTCGTTCATGAGTTTTTAGACTGATTCCCCAAAGAGGTTAAACGATATCCTCATCTTCTCTGTGTAATACTCAGACATAAAACTTCAATAATTGTCCGTTCTTTATTTTCTATTTTTGAGGGCTTTGAGCATCGTTAAGCTAAGTATCCTGGAGAGTCACAAAGTTTTAAGGGGCTTGTAGCTCTGGAGTGGCAGGGACGCTCGTTCATGAGTTTTTAGACTGATTCCCCAAAGAGGTTAAACGATATCCTCATCTTCTCTGTGTATATATAAATCTGTCTGGCAGCACCTGCCCTTGCTAGAGCCTCCACCTGACGACAGAGCTGCTCTGTTGAGACTTGAGCCTTCTCCCGTGCCTCACCCAGAAGTGGTCCCAGCCCCATCTGTGACCACTGCCCTGCTGTAGCTGCTCCAAACGCCAGTGCAGAGCCTCCCCAGCACCCTCTGCAGAGGCACCCCTGGGGGCTCGGGGACCAGACATCCTCACCCAGTACTCCCGGCGAGGAGGGTGTCTTTGGGCTGGTTGTTGGGGCAGGCCCAAGGGAAGAGAGAGAAATATCGTATGAGAAGGCTCTAGCAGTCAATAGCTGGAAGAGGCTGAGCTCGGCCCGCTAGCTGGTTTTATTAGCTCTGCTGACAACAGCAATGGCTACCAAAGCCACGGTATTTACTGAACACGGTCTCCGTTGAAGGGATATGAGCATAACCTTGAGAGAGAAGAGCTGGGAACATCGTAACATGATAAAACACTAAATAGTTTTCCCTCTTGGGTCCTTAATGTGGCTTCACCGTCCTGAAGCATACTTCAGATAACCCGTGCCCACAGAAAATCTGCACAAAATTGCGTTAAGGAAATGGGGATAATCAAAGGGGATGAGACGCAGGGAGGTGGTTCCCGAACAGAGGCTCTGGGGTACGTTTCCCCTGGTGTAACCTGAGCGTACATATAATGAACACTGCTGCTGAACCGCAGAGCATTCTCCCACCCACACATAAGCCACAGTTTTACAATTGAAAATACATGTTGAAGCACAACAACGGATGTTTGTTGCCTGGCCTAAAAAGAGCACACCGAGCTGCCTTTCCTCCTTGTTCCCTTGTCCTAATTAAAAATGCTAAGATTGTAGAGGATTTCCTCGTATGAGTTTCCTGTCATTTATGCAAGTCAAAAAGAGGCAAGTATTTCCCACTCCCAGAAGGGAGACACTAGAGCATGCACGTATGTCAGGCAGCAGTGCTGTTGCCTTGAAATGTGAATTTCGGTTTCAGTGAGCTTCCTTGCATGATGACCCTTCATCTATTTACCCGATTTTAATGAAACTATTATAGGAGAACGTAATCTCTGACGATGGTATTATTCGGTATAGCTTTCTGAAACTTTAATGTCTTAACCTTTGTTAGAGTGAGTCATAAAATTAAGTAATTGGGTAAGGTTAATTGAAGTAGACACGATGCCCGGTGACAGCATGTGTTGCCATGAAGCTGGTTTTATAAAATC